CATGCCTGACAAATCTTGTAGAGTTTTTCAAAGAGGTCACCAAGCGGATCGATAAGTGGATGTTGTCTGTATGGACTTTAGTAAGGCCTTTGACTAAGTCCTGCACTGCAGGCCAGTAAGGAAGGTTCGGTTGCATGGGATCCAGGGAGAGTTAGCTAATTGGATTCAAGATTTGCTTGATGGTAGGAAACAGAGGGTGATGGTTGAAGGTTGTTTCTTGGATTGGAGGCCTGTGACTAGTGGTGTGCCACAGGGTTCGGTGCTGTGACCTTAGTTATGTGTTATTTAAATAAATGATCTGGTTGTGAATGTACAAGGTATGATTAGTAAGTTTGCCAATGATACAATATTAGGAGGTGTTGTTGATAGCGAGGAAGGTGATCAAAAATAACAGAGGGATCTTGATCAGATGGGGAAGTGGGCTGACGATTGGCAATTGCAATTCAATACAGATAAGTGTGAGGTTTTGCACTTTGGAAAGTCAAACCAAGGTAGGACTTGCACAGTAAATGTTAAGGTCCTGAGGAGTGTTGTGGAACAGAGGCACCTTGGAATACAAGTACATGGTTCATTGAAAGTGACATCATAAGTGGACAGGGTGGTGAAGAAAGCATTTAGTATGCTGGCCTTCATTGGTTGGAAAATTGAGTATAAGAGTTGGGATGTTATGTTACAGTTGTAGAAGTTTCTGGTAAGGCCACATTTGGAGGATTGTGTACAGTTTTGGTCATCCTCTTATAGGAAAGACATTGTTAAACTGGAAAGTGTGCAAAGAAGATTTACAAGAATGTTGCTGGGACAAGGAGGCCTCAGTTACAGGGAGAGGTTGGCCAGGAGAGTACTTTATTCCTTGGAACATAGGAGAATGAGGTATGACCTTATTGAGGTGTGTAAAATCATAATGGGCACAGATAGGATGAATGCATACAGTGTATTTTTCCCCAAGGATGGGGAATTGAAAACTAGAGGGCAAAGGTTTAAGGTGAGAGGGCAAAGATTTAAGAAGGACCTGAGAGAGTGGTGCATATGTGGAATAGGTGGCCAGAGAAAGTGGTTGAGGCAGGTACAATAGCAGCATGAAAAAAAAACATATGAATAGCAAGGATTTAGAGGGATATGGACCAAATTCAGGCAATTGGAACTAGCTGAATCGGCACCATGGTCAGCATGAACCAGTTTGAACTGAAGGGCCTTTCTCCATGCTGTATTACTGTATGACTGTATGACCTCAGACAACATTGGGACCTTGATCAAAAGGACCAATGGGCTGGGGAGTGTCAGATGGAGTTTAGTCTTGATAAGTATGAGGTGCTACATTTTACAAGGGAAAATCAGAGCAGGACTTGCAGGCTCCGGGGAAGCCAAACCGAAGGTTCTTCGAGTGCAGGTTCATTGCTCCTTGAAATGGAATTACAGATAGACAGGTCAGCAAAGAAGGAGTTTGATACACTTGCCTTTATTGGTCAGTGCATTGAATGTGCGGATTGGGAGGTCATGTTGCGACTATACAGAACATTGGTTAGGCTACTTTTGAAAAACTGCATTCAATTCTGGTGTCCCCTTAAAATAGGGAAGGTGTTTTTAAACTTGAAAGGGTTCAGAAAATGTTTAAAATGTTGTTGCCACGGTTGGAGGCTTGGCCTTTTGGGAGAGACTGAATAGACAGGGCTTATTGGGGCTTATTTTCCACGGAGTGTTGGAGGCTGAGTGGTGACCTCCTAGAAGATTATAAAATTATGAGGGGCATGGATAGGGTGAATAATCAAGTTCTTTTGCCCAGAGTAGAGGGATCCAAAACTGGAGGACATGGGTTGAAGGTGAGAGGTGAAAGGTTTATAAGTAACCTAAGGTGAGCAACGTTTGCTCGCTGCGAGTGGTGCGTAACTGGATTGAACTGCCGAAGGATGTGGTGGAGGATGGGACAATTACAACATTTAAAAGGCTTCTGGATGGGTATAGGATTAGGAAGGGTTGAGAGTGAAATGGGCCAAATGATGGCAAATGGGACGAGATTAATTTACGATATCTGGTTGTCATGGTCGAGGTGGACCCAAGAGTGCTATACATCTCTATGACTGTATGACAGGAACAGATTGTGAGACAATAATAATCATTCACGCTGCATAAACAGACAGGGACAGATAGATGCACTCGCATTTTCACATAGCAGAGACTGACAGATATTGGACAAACTATCCCTCAATAAACCTGAATCTCTTAACAACACAGTACTATTACCAGTGTAATGCGGAAATCACGGAGAGTGATGAAACAAAATAATATGTTACACACAAAAGATTGTCATGAACAGAATAAAACACATTGCCACAATTAAAATCTCACAGGTACTGTGTTCAAAATATCATTAAATGACAATAACCAGTTCATTTTAGAGTGAGCGGGGAGTTTGATCCGTGTACAAAATTTGGTTTGTGTTTCGCATTTCGTTGTAGATCCTGACATCCACGTTGTGTCCCACACTAACCAATCACAGCGAGGCTGATGTCATGGATTCTTGTAAACTACCCAATCAGGAACAAGGCTTTCCCCCATCCTTCATTAGCATTGCTGACACCGTTAGGCTATGAAAAGCGAGCTCCGAGTCCGCTTTCCCTTATTCTGTGTCTGAAAGTGACCGTTATTATGGCAGATGAGAAGAAAGCGCAGCCAACCTCCAAAAAGGGCGCGAAGAAAATCATCAAGAAGGCGCCAGGCAAAGGCAGCAAGAAAAGGAAACGATCCAGGAAAGAAAGTTACTCCAT